ATACATTATAGACATAAAAACCAACCAGACTTGCTAAACTTAGTAATGTACTACAAATAGGTTTGAAGTAAAGTGAGGAATCCAAGATGACTCCTAAGCAGGAGGAATGTTGATACGTTTTGAGGAAGAAATTTAAGAACTAAGCCTGAGATATCTGTAAGATATCCAAGCAGAAGTACCAAGCCGATTGTTGAAAAACAAGCCTAAAGTTTAGAAGAGAGCCCTGGACTAGAAATACAATTTTGGAAGCCATCAGCATACAGATGGGATTTAAAATTGGCTGGGCATAGTAACTTATGCCTGTAATCCCAACATTTTGAGAGCCTGAGGTAGGAGGATTGCTTGGGGCCAGGAGTTTGAGACCAGCCTGGGTAACACAGCAAGACCCACTCTCTATTTAAAATAATAATAGTAATAAAATCCCTGGAAATTGGTGAAATCAGCTGTTAGATAGTAGAGTCAGAAGAGAAGAGGGACCAGAATGTAGCCCTAAGAACAGCTAACATTTGAGGGGTAGAGACAGAAGAGCCAGAAAAGAAGCCTTCCTCAGCTTTGTCAGCCAGTAAGGCAGGAGGTGGGAAATTAAGATAGCGTAGTGTCGTGAATGCAAAATACTGCTCAAAGGTCAAGGGAAAGTAATTCAAAGAAGTATCCAATGGATTTGGTATAATGGAGTTTACTGGTGACCTGGACAAGAGCAGTTCTAGCGGAAGATCAGGGAAGAAGCCAGAGTGTTAACAGTTGAGTTATGAATAGGGAATGAGGGAGTGAAGAGGAGATAAGATGAACAGATAATTCCTTTGTATATTTGCTGATGAAATGGAGCAGAGAAATGGACTGGCAGCTAGAGGGGGCTGTAGGCTCAGTAGGAAATATTCGTGCACACTTGTATGCTAATGAATGAGCCAGTAGTCCTGGAGAGATAGATAGCACAGAAGAGAGAAAGTATAACCAAAGTTGGAAAGCTCTTGGAAAACAGGAGGGGCTGACATAGAGAGCAGTCTTTGGTAATAGGAAAACTACATCCTGTGTTTTAACAGGCAAGTGAGAACTTGGGTACAAATAGAGGTAGTTGTGTGTATTTGTTGGTGAGAAGATCAAGTGGATCAGATATGATGACTTCTGTTTTCTCAGTCAAGTCTGAGGCAAGGTCATCAGCTTAAATAATCTGCTATGTATTTTCCAAACCTATATTCTCTGCCCTCTCCAATCTATCCTGCATAACACTTTCCACATTGATCTTCCTCAGATGCAATTCAGTTTCCATCTGCTCCAGTGTATTCGGTGAATTTATGATATTTATGAAAATAAGTGTTAATTTTCCCATATAATTCCCAACTGTTTTTCTAGGTTTATCTCTCAATAGACTTTTCTTTACAATCTTTATTTAGATCAGTAGTGTACAGACAATGGCTCATGGGCCAAATCTAGCTGGGCACCTGTTTTTATAAATAAAGTTTTATTGGAACCCAGCCATACCCATTCATTTATGTATTATCTGTGACTGCTTTCTGCTACAGTCTCATAGGTTAGTTAGGACAGAGACCGTATGGCCTGGGAAGCCTAAAATGTTTACTGTATGGCCTTTTAGAGAAAAAGTTTGCTGACCATTAATGTTGATGAGACTGATCTAGTCAGTCTAACTTAGTGGAAAGAACAAGGGCTGTGGAGTCAGACAGACCTGAGATTGACACTGGACACCAACAGTCACTGAAACTTAATTTCTTCATTTATCAAATGAGGATATAATACTTAACCTTCCTTGTTGTCATAGGGTCAGTGTAACATATATAAAAGCTTATGTTTCTGGCACTTGGTAAGCCTTCAAGACAAGCTTCTTTCCTCTGCTTATTTGCTGAGACTACTGTTCTGATGCTTTATTAGGAATGGGCTTCATTGTCTTCCCCTTATACCTCCATCTCTGCCTCTTAGAGTTCTAGTCATCCTTCTCTGTACCTCCTTAGTGAAACTTTTCCTGATTCCCAACGTACGGATGTAATTTCTCGTTCCCCTATATCATATGTTTTATATTCCCTTATAGACTATAACTTCATTAAGAAATAGCAATTACAGTTTTTTAACAACAAACAATAACAAAATTGTAATTGCTAATTCTTAATGAACTTATATGTATATCAAAACATCTATTGTATACCTTTTTTTTTTCTCCATTTATTTATTTTATTGCATTTTAGGTTTTGGGGTACATGTGAAGAACATGCAAAATTGTTGCATAGGAACACACGTGGCAGTGTGATTTGCTGCCTTCCTCCCCATCACCTACATCTGGCATTTCTCCCCTTGCTATCTCTCCCCAGCTTCCCACCCCCCACCGTCCCTCCCCTATTTCCCCCCAACTGACCCCAGTGTGTAGTGCTCCCCTCCCTGTGTCCATGTGTTCTCATTGTTCAACACCCGCCTATGAGTGAGAACATGCGGTGTTTGATCTTCTGCTCTTCTGTCAGTTTGCTGAGAATGATGGTTTCCAGGTTCATCCATGTCCCTACAAAGGACGTATACCTTAAATATAGACAATTTAAAAAAGAATTTGCAATTACTTAGGTTGCTATTCTGCATGTTACCACACATGGAATAAATACCAAATGATTATTTGCTCATTCAATTCAGTAGATTTAAAGGGGAGGGATCAGTGTGGACTGTCATCTTTTAGTGAAGACTTCATTAAGGAGCTACTTCCAAATGTATTGGTGATTACTGAGGGCATAGTGAGAATTGAGAAAAATGCAAAGTAGAGCATAATGACATTTAATTATCTACTTTATGATGTAATAACCTTGCAATTTTCTGTGAAAAGTTCTAGGTTATACTAGTAATCTGTTGCTACATTTAAAAAATGACCCGAAGACAGCAGATTAAGACAACAAGCATTTATTATTTCACACAGTTTCTGAGAGTCAGGACTTCAGCAGCAGCTTAGCGGGGTGGTTCTGACCCAGCTTCTTTCATAGGGTTGCAGTCATACCATCAGATGGAGCTGCAGTTATCGGAAGGCTTGACTGAGGCTGGAAGATACACTTCCAAGCTCATTCATGTGGCCATTGGCAGGAGGCCTTACTTCCTTGAGATGCTTACAACGTGGACTCCTACAGAGCAAGTGATTAGAGAGAAAGAGAGAGTACACATGTGTGTAGCCAAGATGGGAAGAGAGTGAGAGTGAGTGCAAGTATGCACATGTGTATAACCAAAACAGAAGCTATAATGCTATCACAATTACGTCTGCTTTTTTTTACTGGCTGCACATACGGACCAACCTGGTATAATGTGCAAGGGAACTACACAAGAGTATGAACACCAGGAGGATGTAGGTCATTGGGGCCCTTCTTAGGACTAACTGTTACAGTGCTCGATACCTGGGTAGTTATTTATCCCAAAGGAATAGTGTTTGCCTGTTCATATGAATGAAACAATTGTAATCTAATTGGTGTCAACATTTTTAAACTTTCACAAAGAAATTTTAAAACTTGTATTACTGTGACTGAATTCTTTTTAATTCCCCTGACATGAGGTTAAAGGACTTTTAGTAAAATTATACCTTCACTTTATATTATAGAATAATTTCTGTTTCTGTCCAGTTGTCTTTTACTTTTCTGTTGAAATCTGGATTTCCTTTTTCTCTTTTACCGTTCAGATAATTTTCAAGATGAAATGACCAAAGAAGCAGAGATAGATAATTTTTCAACTATAGGAAGCCTTGGAGAAACTACTGATATCTTAAACATGGTAATGATTTCCTGTCTATCTATATAAATGAGTTTGAATTTCAGTTCATCATGTATGTGAATGTGTGTATGCTTCCTATACTCTTATATGCATGAAAGCTACTTTGTTGTTTTTACTTTGTTATTTTATATTGAGTATAATTCACATACAATAAAATTTGTTTTCTTTTTTTGAGATGGAGTTTTACTCTTATCTCCCAGGCTGGAGTGCAATGGCATGATCTGCAGCCTCTGCCTCCCGGGTTCAAGCGATTCTCCTGCCTTACCTCCCGAGTAGCTAGAATTACAGGCATGTGCCACCATGCCAGGCTAAATTTTTATTTTTACTAGGGGTGGGGTTTCTCCATGTTGGTCAGGCTGGTCTCGAACTCCCGACCTCAGGTGATACACTCGCCTCAGCCTCCCAAAGTGCTAGGATTATAGGCATGAACCACCACACCTGGCCAATAAAATTTGTTTTGATCCTCACATTATTAGTATGGCAATTGAGAGTGGATTCTATTACTATCCGAACTGTTTTCCCTTCATTTTATATATGTGTATATATTATATACACACACACATAATGTACAAATGTATATATACTGTATTATTTTTATAATATATATATATTTTTTTATTTCAGACACACATGATGAGCCAGAATTCCAATGAAAAGTCATTAAAATTGTCACCAGTTCCAAAGCTAAAGGTATAATACGGAGATTTATTTTCATTATTGTTGGTAAGAGCAGTTTATTTTTTTTTTTGGATGGTTTTTGGAAAAAAACACAAGAAACGTAAGCGTTTACTTACTTTAGAATTTAAAAGACAGAGGAATATAATGTAGATAACCTCCATTTTGGCTTGTTCTGATGGTATGTATTTTCTGTAAAGAAACAAGTGAGAAAGCATTTTATTGCTGAAATTTCCTCTTTGGGATCACTAACAAGTTATAATAGCCATACTTTTCCTTCTGTCAAGCCATAGATTATGATTGCAGTTCTTATGTATAGGAAAAGACTACCATTTATTGACAGAGTGGCTCTCTGACTTTGGTTGAGTATGACTTTGAATGTATTATTATGCTGACTTTATGGAATGGTTTTAATAACTTTTTTAGCTTTAAAATTTTGTGATTTTAGTGAAAATCTTTGATAACCTTTTCCAATATTTGGTTGGGCTTTAATTTATCAAGGAATTGATAGCATAATAATAAGATTAAACATTTGGAAATCAGACTGTTCATGGGTGGGAAAGAGAGACCTTTAATGAATAACAAATAGCAAAAGAAGGGAATAGGCCGTGGTTTTCACACTCCTAGAGAGATTAAGACCTGCCCTGAAATCTTTTGCTTTACCTGGCTTTAAGGACTAGTGGGATGAACGAATGAGGGATTTGAGGATTAGGAAAATAAACTGGAGAAATGTAATTCAGGGAAGAAGATTATAGAAAATATTTAATTTCTGTTTCTGGTGACTTTGACATGTTTTCAAGTTTAAAACTCTTAAAATTGAAGTCTCTGAAATGCAAGAGAATCATGCTAAATTGTAAAAATTTAGAGCTAGTCCTCATTCGTTCTATCTATAATTCTAAAAGGCATGGTGAATAACAGCATTCCTTTGGATATGGGAGAGCTGTTCGAACACAGTTGTAGAAGCTCAATAAATATTGACTGATTTTTGACTGACTATACTTCCAAGCAGACATCTCTCGTGCCTTTCATTCCACTTCTCTTAGACTCCAGGCTCTCCCTCTTCTGGACTGCTTTATTGTGCTAGGGAAAGAAAGGTATGTGCCTTTAGAAATCAGTTCTGGCAACTGGGCCTGGCTCTCTTAGGGTTCTTAAAAGAATCAGGATTTTTTAAAGAGCAAGACCTAGAACAAACAGAAAC